CCAAATAATTTCTGACGTAACGTCAATATTTGGAAGAAAATTGGTGCCTGAGAGATTTTAGACATGAGAAATTTGATTTTGATGTAAATATGATTCCTATTTGTAAGAAGCGCCACCTACATGTGTTTTAACTGTTTTGAAGAGTAATAACTTCTCGTCCATACATGTCTAAAACTACTGAGTGAAAAATATACATTTTCGTGATTTTTTACGTAAGAAATGTCACTTAAAATCACTAAGAAAATCGTTACGAGCAACCGTTATTTGGAATGGAAATACTCAATACATGTCATTATTGATAAAAAAAACATGTTAAGTAGATAGTCATTTGACTGAAATGATAAATTTGGAGGATTTTTATTTTTTTTAAATTAATCATAAATTTTTCTTCAAAAAAATTATGATAAAACAGAACTTTTGTCATAAAAACAATTCAAATTTATGATTTCAGTCTAATAACTATTTAGTCAACATGTTTAATTTATGTCAATGAAGACAGGTATTGATAATTTCGATTCAAATATAAATATTCGTAGTGATTTTTGCCAAGAGACCTTTTTTACGTTAATAAACGTCCTAAACGTAATTTTTTTACTCAGTAGTTTTATACAGGTACGGATTAAAAGTTATTATTCTTCAATCCAGTAAAAAATATGTCGTTGGTGCCCTCTAGAAATAGGAGTCATATTAACATCAAAATTAAATTTCTCATGTCAAAAATCTTCCAGATACCAATTTTCATTCAAAAAATTGAAAAAATCGAAATAAAAATTAAACTTCTACACCCTGTATCTATCAAACTAAGAATATGCTGCCGAAGTTTCCGGAATACATTTCGGACCACCCTGTATATATTGTCCGCAAAATTTTCCGATAGATGAGTTATTCTTCTATTCGAGGCAAAAACGAATCTAACAAATCAGAGATCATTAAAATCGGTACAACCGTTTTTGAGTTAATAAATAATGTGACTAAACTGCCTTTTTTTTTATTTATTTACATGACAACTTTGTGGTTTGTATATTTGCAATGAATGAATATATTTCACAATATTAATATAAATTATTACTCTAGGGAAATATTAATGTTGCAAAGTTAAATTATTCTAAATTGCGTTTACTTTTGTCAACCGGTTTGATAATTAATTTTGAATAACAGCTAATTATGACAATCATATTACCGCAAATTTCATTGAAAATAAAATATATTTACACGTACTAATAATTTATTAATTCCATTTGCAGCAAGCACAGTTAGAAAACAAAATTAGAGGATTATATTAGTGACCCGACCAATAGCGGATAATATAAAAAAGACCCTTAATTGCTTTACACGCTAAAACGCTATACTTGCTTTCTGTGTGGCCATGGACTTATACAGAGTTTACATCTCGTCTGTACCTACTTGAAATAAATGTTATAAGTTTTTTCACATGTACAGGTACAAACAGGAGTGTTTTATGGGGTTTCTCGTTTATGAGTAGGGATATAAAGATGCGGTTTTCATACTTTCACATGTTACTTTTTTATGAAACTGAAGATGCTTCACCCCGATTTGTTCTAGCGCTCTTAGTTCGTTTTTTCGCTACGAGCTGTCATTTTCGAAATATGACTCAAACTTATGTTTTTAAATGGGCCACCCTATTTTTTAAATTTATTTGTTTTATTATGAGATTTTTAAAATATAATCTATTCTATTCTTATTTTCATAAATAAGATAAAAAAATGCATTATTTAAATTTTCAATATAAATCAACCTAGTTTAAAAGAGTATAGTACTGTTTTATTTTATTTAAATTAACCAGATTATTTTGCTTTCTCTCGTATTTTTTTTAAATAAACTGCACCGTAAATGCACTATTAGCTAACACCTTATCAATCAGAGTTATTAATATTTTTGATGCCAATAATCAAAATTTGACGTTATTAACAAGCTCATAACAAGAAAAATGAAATAAAATGATAATATACAGGGTATTCCTAAGCTTGGGTAATATTTCAAGAATGCCAACTTCAAGTAAAAATCTAGTTACGCCATTGAAACTCTACGTGAAAAAATATATGGACTAGTTCTCACCTTTCCGATAAGTTATAAGATAACCGAGATAGAAAGGAGGTTAAAAAATGCAACATCTTGAAATTCGCTCTGTATTTCAGAAACCAAGGGAGCTAGGAAAACCTGTGTGTAACATCTTTAGTTTCACAAAAAAGTAGTAGACTGATGTGAAAACTGTATCTTTGTATCTCTACTCATAAACGAGAAACCCCATAAAACACACGAAAATGGGACACTCTGTACACGGTGCCATTTGAGATATTTTGCTAATCAATATAATGTAGGTATGAAAATTAAAAAATAATTAGATTAGACTGGAAGATTCTTGCAGATTTTATAAAGCTCACTTAGAAAGCGTAAGTAAACCCACTGGCACTGGTAGCAAACTGCAGTACGTTCACATTTTCTCATCAAACATTGATTTATTGCCACTATAATCTAACGTACCCTATTAGCCTTTGAAATTAAATTTTCCAGTTCATAATACTGTATTTCTACACCTACTAATAATGTCATTATAATTAAAACATACGGTTATTTTTTGTTTTACGTATCAATACATATCCACAAAATTGATATAAAAACAATAATATTTATTTTAAACATTAATTAAATCCTCTTTCAAGCAATTTTAAATGCGCAACTTTTATTACTTTTAATATACGTATCGAACATTTATTAAAGGTTACGTTTTGTCGCAATATTACTGTTTCCTGTATAAATAATAAAACATAGTACAATAAACAACAAATAATAAAACTCATATTAATATTCATGGAAATTCATATTTTTGATTTCCGACGCAGAGTTTCGGTATAAAATATTTTTACATAAAAAATTTAAATATATGTGTTTTAATAACTTATTCTATTGTTGAGGAGTAATTATAAAATATATGAAAAGATGAAAAGAAAATTTGCATTTGTTTTCTTTTTGCATTCAGAAAGTGCAGAAGTAACAATCAATTTTTTTTTCGACATGATTAACAATATAAAAAAAGTCATTTTAACGCCTAAGCATCAAAGTTCGTAGATATATTATTAAACTGACATAAAGTGTCCAATTCAACAAGCGTATACTTGTATTCATTTAAAACTTCCCAATATGGCGAACTTCAGTATGGGAGGCTTATAAAAAACGAAAATCTCTAGACTGGAATCGACTGTAGTTCAAATCGTTCAAATTGATAATCTGTGGTAAATCCAATTGAACTCTGACACGTGACTGACATTGACGTTTACGGTTACTTTTTCTAAATATTTTCATTATTTTTTGAGTTTTTATTTACAAATTCTACTTGATTTTGTTCTTTTATTTAACCTGCAGCCTGCACTACTATTACTTTTCACCGATTACTACTTTTCACCGATCAAGAACTGAGGAATAGGCTGGAAGATATTCAAAAGGTGTAAAACGCTTAACGTATTTGAAAACATTGACTCGTCCACAAATTCGTGAAAATAAATTAGTCCAGATGTTTGTAAAAAGTATCAGTAATTTTCAGGTTTGTAATATGTATATGATAATAAATAGATTAAAACTTGTATTTCAGGAAACAGGGCGGGCATTACAGATAGTTCTAAATCAGTTTTAAAATATAAAGAAGGTTTAAAAGTTGAGTTAGTAGAGAAGACCTAAATAAAGTAACGTTGGTAATAGAACCAAAGATCAAATAACTCTTGAAATATATAATATGTAGAATAATTGTAAGTAGTTTTTATGAATCTGTTTGATATCTATTGCATTGTTTTTATATTTCTTGTAATATATATTTTTTTACTTTACAGGATACACAAAGAATAATAATAAAAAATACAGTTACTCACTAAAAGCGCTTAAGGTTTGTAATAGATGTAGTTAGAATATCAAACACCAAACCAAACCAAAAATTATGTTTTATTTTACTGGTATTCCTCACATTTGAAAAGAAAGTCATTTCATAAATAAGCAGAATGACATTGTATAGTACACTCTATATTAATAATCACTTACTATATAACTGTAGTTTCTCGTAACTGTAATTTCTCGTTATATCATTACCATATATTAGGTATTACTTTTAAATATTTTTATATTATTTGTAGTTTGATTTTTTTTAAAAAAATTCAATGTTCTACTACTTAATAAGAATTACTTATAAGATTAAAAATGACTTTTTGTGCTTCGCTACAAAAACTGGATCTTGAAAATTATTAAAAACCATGTATAAAAAGTAATAATAAATTAAATACCAAAAAAAAAGATTTATTGTAAATTTGTTGAATATATATACCGTGCACCTACTATACTAACATAAGTCTGAATATCAAAACTACAAATGGTGTATTTATTAACAAAAATTTGATTATTGATTCATATTTTATTCATATTTCATCAACCCAAATAAAATATTTAGTATAATATTTTGAGACAGTTCAATGTCAGCCTTCATAATCAAATGTGGATATTCATATAATTTATTTATATATAATTTTAAGGCAAGATTACCAACGAGCCATGAAAATCGATAAATTTAATTTGAGTAAACATTGGTAAAGCACCCTCATTTCATTATAGTTTCTATTGGGGAATTAACGATACCAAAGGAATTTAATTCAAATAGATTACATTAATTTAATTTCAATTTATTTATGGAGTAGAATACGCATAATAGTATCAAAATATTATTGGGGGAAAGAATGTCTATCTTTATTAACGTTAGAAAATAGTCTGTAGCTGAAAAAATATTAGTTTATTTTTTAATCATGGTAGGGTTTGTGTAATAGCGAGGGATGTCCCACTTAGGTAAAAATGTACATGTAATTCCAATAGTGAACCAACAACAGTAATTCCAACAATAAACCTTTATTATTAGTAATAGGTAGTAATATTATTATATAGAAGAAATATAAAAAAAAATATAGCAATCAATTGGATTTTTCATAATTTGTCTGTATATGACTTACCTTTCGTATGTCTTCTAAATTGTGAATTTCTGGTGAAAGACCTCCGTGTACACACAGGAACTGTTGATTCATGAGCGCTGCCAATGGTAGACAATCGAAGGCCTCCATGCAGGCGTCGTACACTCGTTCTGAATATTTTATTTTACCTAGAATAAATAGGAATATAATAACGTTATTAGACTTTGTACACTTTTATATAAAGAATTTTAAAAATAATAGGGAAAAATTTTAAGGAAACGATTTTTTTGTAGAAAAATGTAAATAAAAATATTATTTCCCAGTAAGCGTAATAAAATATTAGGCGAAAAACTTCATAAGCGCCAATTTTTTATTTTTAGGATTTTACAATATTATAGTAGGTCTAGCGGGTCCCTACAAAATGTATAAACTCTGCAGGGCATTATGTTGTTAACTCCTATGATATACGCCTAATAAAAATCTAGAATACACGGAAAGAACCTGATGACAACCAGCCGTCCAGTACTCTCCTGTAAAATTAGTAAAATAGCGCTTATCATGGTTTTCCCCTGGAACCATGTAAATATGTACATATGATAGACAAAAAAGTTTATAAATTCGTTAATAAAATAGTTTCTTTTATTTTTAACTAATCAACTTTTTTGCATTTATTTATCCTGTATAAATAAAAAAGTTTCTAATTAATCAAAATAGAGTATAAAAGGATAAAACTTTGTTTATGTCCTAAAATGCTTCTTTTTCGAGATACAGGGTGTAAAAATTTAATTTTTATTTCGATTTTTGAAATAATTTATGAATTAACGTCGATATTTGGGTATATCTCAATTTCTGGGTGTTGATATGAGAAATTTATTGTCGCTACAGGCAACCGTTCTCGTCATATTTAGAATAGAAATTATCAATACTTGTTAGTGTCATCATTGACAAATAATAACTAACAATTAACAAATTGGGAATATTCTATTTTTTTTAATTAATCAAAATGTTTACTAGACAAACATATGATAAAACAGTTTCTGTTGAATTCGTAGCGATTTTTACCAAGAGACCTTTTTGCGTAAAAAATGGCGTAAAATTTTCCACTCAGTAGTGTAATACATGCTAGACCAAGGATATATAGAAGAAGGATATTCAACTCCCTATAGCGGGCTATGTTGGAAAATATGCCGTATTTTGTCGAGGAAGACGATTTCGTCACGACCAATGAGCGTCGAGTATTTGAAATTGAAAACATATAAATTGACGGTAACCTATGTTTTTTGACTCATTTCACTGACAGATGTGATGAGATTATTATTGTAATTTATAGATCCAAACGTTTTTGAAAAAATAATGTATTTTAAAGTTATTTCCTAGAGTTTGGTTTGGCCTTCTATATCTGGTATTTGTCTACTAATAAATAATATCTTATTTTGTATTTCGATGTATGGAAATCCGCAAGTTTTGTATCTGAAGCCGCAAAGAAATTTCGCTCTATAGTGAGAAAAATGTTATTATATCTTTTTAGACGTGTAGAATTACAAAATTTCTTATTTCAGATGTTCTAAATGTGAGTGCATGTCAAAAATTTAAATATATACTTGAAATATTATTTCAAGTTATATGCTTTGACATTTTTTGGAAGTAAACAAATATTGAAGAAAGTGTTGTGCCTTCACAGAATTTAAATTGGCATTAGGAATAGATTTCCTTGATTTAGTAATAATATTGCTCATAGAAATTGATAATGTGAAGAATAACAATACAGGAACATAGAATAACAAGAAAGAAATTCTAGCAGCAAGTTAGGTTATGAGATAAATTTTATTTATATAGTTTGTTTAAAGAGTTTAGTTTGAAAAAAAGGTAAAACAATTATTATTGTCCAGGTCATATTTGATAACTGTTGTTAATTGATAACATATTACAGGGACACAGTAAAAAAACAAAACATTTAGACCCTTTGAAAGAGAAATGTTTGCAATGGATATTAATAAATTCTAGCCAATTTGTACGATGTACAATGCAGGCAATATTTCTGCCTCCTAACGCACTATTCGCGTAAAAGAAGATGTGGGTATTGTATTTATAGGTAGTTAATGATACATGGAATATATTTCTATATTATTGCAATAACGATGTCTTTATGTTGTATTTTTTAGAACAGATTTATTATTAGTTGGCTAGTGTGTTAGTAGGATAGCCATTGGTAGTTCTAAAGTATGAAGTCGTCAGGTATTAATAATAGGAATTGATCAAAGCTTATACATTTATTGTGATATTTATATTGTGAATTTAAGTAGTTAGTTTTGGTTGTTTAATAAACAAATTAATGTGCTTATTGTGTATCTAATTAAAAGAACAATGAAAAGTTGAATACCATAGGGGTACGTATGTTATACAAAGAATTTGCATCAACATTTTTTTGGTTATATACTTGTACTGATATTTGTTTCTTGAACTAAAGAATTATACAGTACCTACTACACAATATAATAATCTGCAGCTACATAGGTAGGTAGCTGTTGGTAATTAAATTTTTTATCTAATATAATATCTAACATCAGAAATATTGTTAATTATCAACTATAAACAACTAAGAACTAGAATTATCAACTATAAACACAATATAATATACTGTATCTTAAGCAATATGTAATTATTTAACAATTATTTTTTTTGGGAAATAAAAACTGGTACTAAATTCTTTTTGACTATTTAATTTCTAAGTCACAAATAATGGTGGACAAATAGCAAGAAAATTATACAAGTAAAACATAATTTTAACTTATTTCTCTAATGGAATTTTGGTATTGATCTACTTAGTAGGATATGCAGTTTATCATATTTTTGAATATTTATATTCAATATTGTTCAGGAACAGCCCAATTACTCTGAAAAAAAAATATATGGTCAAATTCTTTGAAAAGAAACTTTTAAAATCAGTAATGATAAAAAAATATATAATTGTTGTATAGCAGAACCAGGGGACACAGAATTAGGGGAATTAACAATAGATTATTAAAAACTGCCTTCTCTTAAAAAAGTAGTATTATATGCACTTAGAAAGACTATAAAGGATATAAGTACGCATAGAAAGAAAGTAAGTATCTATACTACTGATATATAACTATATATGAATACGATACCTACAGTATACAATATTACTAGTATAAAAATAACAGCACAGTCGGCACACTTTAAAATAAAAAAGCAGCATAATATTCAGGTATGTATATAAGTAAAATTTTCTCAAAAATATTAGAATATGAAATAAATTGCAACTAAATTTTAATTAATAAACATAAACAAATAAAATGGTCAGTGTTATTAAAACTTTATGCAAATATATGTTACCTTAATACTTTGTCTTTAATCCTACTCTTCTGACATGGCTTTTCAAACTTATCCCCAAACCTCAATTCTTGTTATTAAGAATAATATTTATGAACTTTTGTTTCCATATTAATTTCAATATATTTGAATAAAACTGGAAAAATAATCAATATTGGCACTTGAAATTTTAATTTCTTATGTCCTTAAATTATTTATATCGTGTTATACATAATACTTACATAAGTATTCAATTTAAAAATAGATCAGCACTTGAACGAGTGAATATAAAATAGTATATTATCAATTTCTATGAGCAATATCATTACTAAATCAAGGAAATCTATTCCTAATGCCAATTTAAATTCTGTGAAGGCACAACACTTTCTTCAATATTTGTTTACTTCCAAAGGGCAAAGGGTATAACTTGAAATATTTCAACCAATATTTCAAGTATATATTTTAATTTTTGACATTAAGCACTCACATTTAGAACATCTGAAATGAGAAATTTTGTTATTCTACGCGTCTAAAAAGATATAACATTTTTCTCACTATAGAGCGAAATTTCTTTGCGGCTTCAGATACAAAACTTGCGGATTTCCATACATCGAAATACAAAATAAGATATTATTTATTAGTAAACAAATACCAGAATATAGAAGGCCAAACCAAACCTCTAGGAAATAACTTTAAAATAAATTATTTATTCAAAAAACGTTTGGATTTTGGATCTATAAATTACAATAACAATCTCATCACATTTGTTAGTGAAATGAGTCAAAAAACATAGGTTACCGTCAATTTATATGTTTTCAATTTCAAATACTCGACGCCCATTGGTCGTGACGAAATCGACTTCCTCGACAAAATACGGCACGTTTTTTTTTTTGGGCCAGTCGAATATCCTTATTCTATATATCCTTGTGCTAGACTTAAGAACCAGGCTCCGGAAGTTGACGGATTACCGCTGCGCTGTGGTACTTAAGGCAACGGGAGAAGCAGGAATAGACCTAATACATTTGCTATGCAAACAAATTTAGGACACCGGCAAATGGCCCGATGAATGGTGCAATTCCATCTTCATACCTATCTTTAAAAAATGATCACCACTAGACTGTAGTAATTACAGAACAATATTCTTAACCATCATCAACGAGCGTCTTAAACCTTTTCTCCTCCCGCAGATATCAGATGAACACACAGGGTTTATCCCCGAGAAAGACACTAGAGAACATTAAATCTTCAACAAATTATAGAAAAAGCCAGAGAATACAACATTGAGATGTACCTGTGCTTCGTGCACTACTCCAAGGCGTTTGATAAGGGAAAATGGAATAAACTTTCGACTATCTTACTAGAAATGGGCACTCCACCTCACCTCATTTATTTGGCCAAAAGGCTCTATGAGAACAACAATGCTATAAGATTAGAGCTAATAACACGTTATCGAGTGGTTTCAAGAGACAGGGATGTATAATCTCGCCAATCCTCTTTAATATCTACAGTGAATATATCATGCGTCGAATAATGACACCGAAGAATGGAACGGTGGAATATACGTGGGGGACAGGAGGATAAATAACCTGAGATACGTGGATGATACCGTGATAATTGCTGCCAGCAAAGAAGAGTTGCAGGAGGTTATGACTGCACTGTGCTCTATTAGTGCAGAATATGGCTTGGAACTAAACAAACGGAAAACCAAGACGATGATTGTTGACCGCCTTCGCAATAACAAACTTGATGTCCGAACCGTGGCTGGATACGAGGTTGTGAGCCAGTTCAACTATTTAGGTTCCATGATAGCAAACTCTGGCGAGGCTGAAATCAGGCGCAGAATGGCAATGGCGAG